ATATTGAATTTGACAGCACCAGAGGTGAGGATAGTGTAACGCTTTTCGGTGTGGAAAGTTCAATTCTTACTGTTCTGATTCTGTTTTTTTCATTTTGCACTAATGCTCTTTGAAAATGCATCAATCTATCTCGCTACAGGTTAAATCGCGGCTAAAGTCGATTATCTTGCTTTGAGACAGCAACAGGTCTAAGAGAAGGTAATATATGAATTCACCAGCCAGCATGCAGAGAGATGAGAACGTTAGGCGATATTACCCTAGCTAAACCACTGATGTTATGGGTGCTATACATGTGCTCTTACGACCCTCCGTCCTGGGTATGACGATAAACTACATCCGCATCCTGGGTAAGACGATAAACTACGCCCGGCAGCAAGGCCTCTGATCAGGAGGTTTTGAGGAGCGTGGAACCACCTCTTAATTGCTGGTGTTCCCAGGTCCACCCTGACCCGGGGTGGTAGCACCTGTTAGGGGCCCATCTATAGTTAGCTCCCAAACTGGGGTTAAAACGCTATGTAAGTGTAAAAATAGGTTTTAATACCAGAAATACTTTGTAAAAAGAATTATTACCAGCAATACATTTTTGAAGAATTAAATATTACCAGAAATAAAAGTTTTGTCAGCATTAAATAACCCATTGAGGTTGATATGTCGTAAAACGTACCGAACCAAACCAAATCTTACGACCCTAATGAGTTATGGGACTCAAGATATGACAGATTGCAGTATTAAAATTCAAAATAAAAATTATTCATGAGCTTTTATCATAACTGTAAGATTGGTCACAAAACATAACACTGTAATATTAAGAAAATGTGATGTGGGCCGATGATTTCAAAAGATTTGCTAGTTTTTTTTTTTTTTTGTTTTTTTTTGTTTGTTTTATGACATATTATGGGTCATTTAATGCCAAAATTTAATTTTCTTGGGCTCATTAGTAATTTCTTTGACAAAAATTTATTGCTGGTAATATTTTTTCCAAAAATGCATTGGTAGTAATATTTATTTTTTTACAAAAATGTATTGCTGGTAATATTTTTTTTTTCCCAAAAATGTATTGCTGATAATTTTTTTACTACGAAAATGTATTGCTAGTAATTTATTTCTATACATTCTTAGTGTTTTGACACCTGTTTAGGGGGGTAACTATTTGCTCATAGCTGGGACCTTAACAGGTGCTACTACCTTCGGTCAGAGTGGACCTGGGAAAAACAGCAATTACGAAGTGTTTCTACGTCCCGCAAAACCTCCTGATCAGAGGCCTTGCTGCCGGTTATAGTTTATCGTCATCCCGAGGACGAGATTTCAAAAGACGGACAATGAAGCTATGAATCTCAAAAATTAACAGGCTAAATGACGTTCTCCTGCAACAACAGATGATCGACTAAGGAAAAATCATTGCTAAACTGTTCTTTCAAGATTCATCAGATCGATTGTTCATTTATTATTTTTCTGTCAGAAGTGTTCGTTTGAGGATGATTAAACAAAAAGGCATAGTTATGATAGATTTCTCCTCAAATAACAGCCTATTGCAAAAGGTAATGTTTGGTCGTGTGTCATAATATGAATAACTTTTAAATTTCTTTTCAATATTGAGTTCTTTTTTTGTAATATTAATAAGAGATGGTGTGGGTCGTTGATTTCAAAAGACGGACAATAAAGATATGTGCCTCAAAGATAAAGATGATAAAGGACGTTCTTCTGCAACAATAGATGATCCTCTAAGGAAAATTCATTGTTGAACTGTTCGAATTTCATCTCAAAATGAGAAAATATCTGCCCATCAATTAGTAGATGTAAATAGGAATAAAGCCAGATAATAAAATCCCCATTAATAAACTGTTATTTCAATTTTTCTGGAGAATAATATTAATGGAAGAGTTTAATGGATCATTGTCTCTAATACAATAATCACTCGTAAAAAATATTCTTACTTAACAAAAAATCTGTTTTGGCTTTAAATAACCCACAAAGGGGGTTGATAAACCGTAAAAACAAATCAACCGATCAATCACAAAAGCACGTCTATAGAAACCAAATCAATATATTATTCTCGCTAATAATACACACCCCTAACGTGTAGGCTTAAAAATAGGGGGAAATAGCGGCAGAGTCCGGCCACTTTGAAGGAGATTAAGAAAAGAAACTTAGATATGCTGGTAGTATAACGGTTAACGGCTCATTGATTTCTATTGTAAAAATAAACATAAAGGTGATAAAGGATGTTCTTCTGCAACAGCATTTGATTCTCTAAGGAAAAATCGTTGCTGAACAATTCGAAATTTGTCTCAAGTCGACAAAGTTTCATATTAATAAACTAATGTTTCAAATTGTTTGTGATTTTGCTGGAAAATTATATTAGTGGAAGAATTTAATGGGTTATTGTCTGCAGGGACACGTAGATACCCCATAGCAATAGTACAGTAAAAAAAAAAAGATGATGTACAATGGACGTGAGCAATAGTATGAATTCATAATTTATTATCCGAAATAGACGCATCTGTTTTCCTCACAGATCAATAAGCGAAGGTGTGATGATGAACGGATACAAATAAAGCAAGCGTCCATAGAAACAGTTACCATGGACAATGGACAAACAGTTATTTAGAAAGACCGATTGATTAAGACATCAACACTGGAAATAAATATGCACACAAATACACACACACACACACATATATATATAGGAGCAACAACAATTGAGTCAATCACGTATTAAATTCAAAAGACAATGTCTTTAATTTTTTGTTTGTTTAATTTTTTATCCTGCTTTTGCAATTTTCGAATTTTTACTTTTGTTCGAGAACGTTAGACCATCTCAGACATTATCATGAATTTAATGTTGCCAATATCGTAAATAAAACATTTGTTAGCTTCAGCCTGTCATTTTGGGGCAACTCTCAAATTTAAATATTTGGGTATCATATCAATTAAGTTACAATGGTGTAAAAACTTGTATCGCTAGATCAATAACGACTGAGTAATGAGTTCGATCCCCAGTAGGTGTTTCCTACTATCGGACTTGAGTGACATTTAAGCTACGCTTAGAAATTCCCTGTAAGTAAAGTTAAGGTGAACTTCGACGGGGTGTAATGGTTTGCATGCTTGTCTCGCTAGATCAGTTACGACTGAGTAGTGAGTTTGAACCTCACTGGGTTGAATTTAATGTTTTAAGGAAAAAAATTATAAATTACACTTGATAGTAATATTAAATGTTCGGTGAATAAATGATTTCTTGTAGAGAAAAAGGTTAATTTCATTATTATCATTAGCATAAATCTATGATGTTTCATGTCATACGTACGATTCTCATACTCAGAAAGAAAGACAACGATAATCTTTCATCAGACTCCCTAGATTAGCGCTACAAAATCATAAGCATAAACCACATCAGTTAAAGACTTCCAACAGTAGTAACAACTAAAATGGATAGCATATATAATAAGAATGGAAAAGAATGATATAATCATGATGTTGATTTTCAATAGAATATTAAACAAAAGATTCTGGAAGAAAACTCCCATTAGTACTAGAAGGAACGATAACAATGGTTGCAAAGTTTAATTTCCTGAAAAACTTTTTCAAAAAAGATTTTATAAATTTAAACCAACAGCAACTCTAACTGTGCGTTTAATGAATACAAAATTTCTCCTTATAAGGAAACGATCAATCTTACCATTACCATAATTGTAGCAACGGCAACGAGACACTAGAAAAGCAGTAGAGCCACTCGTTTGTCTATGGTTGTCGACTGAAATCTCACCAAATCTCGTATATTATCGTTGGGTATAATATCCAGTGCTGAGTATATAATGTCCCGTTGCATTCATGTAACTAGAAATGTTAATAATGATATAATCAAGATGTCAACTTTTCGCATTACCTTAAATAAATGTTTTGCAAGGAAAAACCGCATCAGTACTAGAATGGGCTCTAAAAATAAACTGTTTTAACAAAAAACAATTCATAAATTTTAACCGACATTTGCTGCCAAATGTTTCCTGTGTGAAAACAGCAGATCTCATTGCTACCCTTATACATTTAGTCGAATCCTGCTCAAGGTCAAATATGAACAATTATTTATATTATGTCAATTTTTCATGACTATCGTCCGGTTCACACTTTTCCCATTATTTTGAACAGGATTAGATCTTTATCCCTTGTTCATTGTTTAGGCTTGGGTTTCCGATTCCTTCTAAATCATTTTCATTCTCTTTCACGCCTTTTACGTCTTAGTGACATTAGCGCCTTACTTGGGGTGAATTTATTAAAAAAAAAGAAAGTGTTGGCTTTGAAAATCAGCACTATCTGAATATGAGTTAAGTATAAACACTTACCAATGGGGTCGGTGACAAGCTCTTTTTTTATATGCCATGTTCTTTCAGGGCATAGGCAAATATGACACTCCACAACGTCCAGTTTTATGTGTAAACAACGCAAATAATCTGCAGCCACATGCTGACAGGATGTGACGCATAGTCGGTTTAACGCAGATAAAACGATAGACTCCGTATCCACAAACTCGCCCTTTTTAATGCAATGAAGGGAGTTGCTGCCACAGGACTGGAACGCCAGGGACAAAGGCATCCCCCCCACCAAACCTTTTGCCTGAAGGCGGAAACAAGACAGAGAAAAGAAAAACACATACTACACTTTGATCTCAGCCAAAAGGTCAGCTAGTAGACATTTATCAGCATGTCTACGTTGTTACTGAATGTAACACAAGGTCGACGCTTAATGTTGGGTGCCGTTCATTGTCATTGTTTGAACTTTTTCCTTTGTTTAGTCTTTTGTAGCCCCATTTTTTTCGCCTTAAGCCGCTCTTTTTATTCCTTTTCTGACATTCACACAAATTCTTTAAACCAAACAAATTACACGCTGTTTTCCGCGTGCTTCTCATGCTTTTATTATGTCCTGCGTGTGTTAAATTCTTCAAACCGTCTTTCCTCATTATACAAACTTTTGGTTGTTTTCTATTATATTCTTAATACACTTCGGGCTTACGGCCATATTACTTTGACACACCGGTTCTCGTACGATCACCGAAGTTAAGCAACATAGAACCTGGTCAGTACCTAGACGGGTGACCACCTGGCAATATCAGGTCTTGTAAGTTTGGATGTGCGGTTGGTGTAATAGATAGTAGCTCGGAATTGTACATTGGAGAGAGCTGAGTTCCAATTCCAGTCGGGTTCTTTATATTCAGTTACGCGCAAATACCCTTACGAAAGATATGAGTGTAACTCCTCTTTCCTCAGCTATGGGTTAATTAGTAGATCAGTAAATCGTTTTTATCTCAAAAAAGAAATTCTTGCGATCTAAAAATATTTTTTGGCTTTACATAAGTTGTGACCGGTTTAGAACCTTTAAAAGCATTTCAATCTATCAAAACTTAGCCTTCTTCGACAGAACCGCATCTTTGATGCTTGAAGTTGCTCTTTCATCTCTATCTGTGAGACGATCGTCTCGCATCAAGTGCGACATAGAAGAATAGATATTACATCCAACACTATGTTCTTTGTTACTAGAGACGTTTTCCTGTGTCTTTAGTCTCTGCTTATTTTCTAGAAAATAACTTTTACTCTTCCTCTGTTTTAAATCTCATTTTCACTTAAAACAAGATCGTCCAGAATTCTTAAATTAAAATTATATACTAAATAGCAGTTCAGTCACTCCTTTCTTTGTCTCTAACGACATATTCGTATCTTTATATATATATATATATATATATATATATATATATATAGTCTTAAGGTGTGCTATATTTATAGGATAAAGTGCTCAATATCAGAGATAGAGCGTGTGTAAATATAAAAGTGAACATAGAAGTCAACATGCAGGCGACAGTCTGTTTCATGCTATATGCAATCAGTCAGGCCTGACGATTGCATATGTTCACTTTTTATATTTATATATATATATATATATATATATTTAGCTTTAAGTTATGTTTCATTTTAATTTATTATTCAAATTATAAGAAATGGTCCTTGGCTCCTAAATTTATACAAAAAAAAACTTGTAATTCTATATTATAAAAAAAACAATCTGCTTCTCTGTCCGTCATACATTGTCTGTGCGTGACTTTACATGTCCGTATAGCTGTCTTGTGCGTGAGAAACTTTTATGTGCGCGTGTTATTTGACGTATACACGCACACGCGCACACACACAGTTTGACTAGGTTTGAAATAAGATATTGGAATAATATATTCACCTTCCACTCAGTCTGGATAACACATACCATGCGCTGAGCAATAAAATCACAAAGTTAGAGAGAAAAAAAAGTTATGTTAATTTTTTAAAGCCTAAAAAAAAAATCAGATAATTATTTATATTTTGAAATTTTCGGAAATTGTTCAGCAACAAGCAGAATTATTATTAATGTTTTATTTTTATTTGTAAAAATATTTAAAAATATATCATTGAATTAAACTATATGTACATAAAAATTGAATGAAACTGAAATGAACATCGGTGTCAGGTGGGATAATTTCCCTGTCTGGCAACAATGCATAGGTAACAGAACGAGTAGATATTTTGAACAGGAATAGAGGTTTATCCCTTGTTTCCTGTTTCGGATTAGATTTCCGGTTCCTTCTAAAGTCTACGCAAACTCTATACTTCTAATCTATCCAGGTAAATTTTGAAATGTTATTTCCTATTTATTTTTTATTTATTTATTTATTTTCTTCAATAGGAGTAGATAGGTTCGCCTATCGTCCACTTCACACTCCTCCCCGGCGCTTTGAATAGGACTAAAGGTTTATCCTTTGTTTCCTGTTTTGAGTTGGGTTTCCAATTCCTTGTAAAGTCTTCTCATTCTCATTCGCTCTCAGTAAATTATCGTCTTGCTTGAGGCTAATTAATTTAAAAGAAGAAAGTCGCTCCCTTGAAATCAATTTTGCGACTTCTTATGTATTGAAACTGAATATATATGCTAATAAATGTCGCTTATTAAATGAACAAACAATTTAGATTTGAAATCTACAGAAATCGCGACAGATCCCGAACTGGTATTTGATAACTGAAAGGTAGATTGATGTTCAACTATATTTGCCGTTGTTGGGAAAAGGAGCGTCGTTGTTTGAATCGAGCACACTATTGATGAGTTTCACTTCCAGCTGACTAACCATTAAGCTGCATCTGAACTCGAGCAGAAAACAGATCGATAGCAAACAGAAATGTATTGATTTGAATACTATAAAAGATAGCATAGCTTAAAGCATTCGAATATGTCGGCTGTTTGGTTAGAGGAAGATGGTGTTACGTCAAATTGCTCTAAAAATGCCTAATCTCGGCTTGAAATTTAACACTGTCGTGATTATGATGAAGTCTGTCGTACATTTATATCTTAATACTCGAAGAATCCTGTTGATAGATTGAAAGTCAAAACAGGTGTAAGGAGAAAAGACAGAAAGACGAAAGAGGAAGAGAAAGAAAAATAGGACAAAAAAAAGAAAGAAAGAAGTCAAGAAAAGAAGGAAAATGAGGAAAAGTAAAAATATAAACAAAAATTAAAAAGAAATGAACAAAGATGAAAAGATGGAATGAAAAGATGGAAACTGAAATGAACAAGTAAAATGACTCAAAATAAGAATAAAAAGAAAAGGAAGAAAGAAAGAAAGAGAGTAAAAAAGAGGAAGAGAAGAAACAAATCAAAAAAGAAAGCGAAAGAAAGATAGGGAAAAAGAAAGGTAAAAAAGTCAAACTCGTAAAAACACAAAACGGAAACTAGCAAAAAGAAAAAATAGTGATTAAAAAATAAACGGAAAAGAAATGGAAAATAAACGCAGAAAAAGAAAGCGAAATAAAGTGAAAGAAAAAGAAACAGAGAAAAAAAGAAACAAAAATGAAAAGAAAGTGAACGATAAATAAACAGAGAAAAAAAAGGAAAAGAAATTGAACGACAAATAAACAGAGAAAATAGAAACAAAAAGGAAAAAGTGAACGTCAAATAAACAGAGAAAAAAAAACAAGCAAAAAGGAAAAGAAAGTGAACGACGAAGAAAAAGGGAAAAAAAGAAAGAAGCAAGAAGAAAAAGAAAGTGAAAAAAGAAGCACAGAAAAAAGAAATGAACAAAAGGAAGAAAAAAACAACGAAAGAAAAAGATACACACAAAAAGTCAAATATAGTGAATGACAAAGAAACATGGCAGAAAAGAAACAAACAAGCAAAAGTATAAAAAATAATGAATGAAAAAAAAAAAAGGAACAAAAAAAAAGAAAAGAGCATGAATGAAAAGAAAAACAGAAAAAGAAGCAAAGAAAAAGAAAAAAGGTAGTGAATGAAAAGGAAAAGAAGCAAAATATAATAGGAAAAAAACAGAAACAACGAATAAAGGAAAGAAAGAAAGCAAAAAAAGTAAATAAACCAAAGAGAGCAAGAAGAAGAAGAAGAAGTTATCATTGTTGCGGTGGTTGAAGGCCACTAAATCAGGGCGGTGAGAAAGGATTGGGGTAGATCAAGAGACGTGCGAATCGTTCGATAAATGCAGTGTGTGTTATTTTTAGTTGTGTCGTAAGTGAATCTAATCAAACAAGATTTGCTGAGGAAAAATGAGAGAAAGAAAATAATGACCTGCTGTCTGTGGATGGAGTGAGCGGTGGAGGAGCATGTGGCGGGAAGCTGCTGGATTTGGGGGTATGTGAGTGAGGTGCACTGTGAGGAGGCTGGGTCGGGCGTGCCAATAGGGTCAATATTCAGGGCAGACAGCAAGTCGCTTGCACGGCGAATGAATAGAAAGACAAGGATTACTGTTATCGATTGCACTAGGACACAATATTTTCGATTTTCATGACTTTACCACCAGATTAACCCATCGTTACTACCGTGGGGTGTTTGAACACCGTCATTTTTTTTCTTAATATTTAGCAAGTCAAATCTTCAAGCTTAGTCAAGTAGCTTGCTGAATATCTCTGTCAAGTAACTACAAGGATCTTTTGGTTTTAGTCATAATATCTGTGTTAATTACAAGTAATTTCTTTACACTAATTTATATTGTTTGGACTGTTGTCCTCATCTTTGTTGCCCTATTCACGACGTTTCGGCCGTCGTACGCTCCGGTCTTCTTCAGGTGATTGGAATTTCGAACCGAACCTTTTATTTCGTTCACCGAGGTAGATTGTTCTAGTTCCACGTGCCATACCTCTTCCGGATATCTCAGACATCAGATATATTGAAGACACATGTGCCAGTGGATAAAAGAGTTCGTTGAAGTAATCTAGTTAATTGGCCTAAAGAGTTTTGAGTTCAATACCTGCCTACAGCAGAGATGAGTAAAATCTTGGTGAGTTGAGTTAGACGGAAATAACTGATACAATACCTCATTTCAGAAATGCAGACATGTAATTTATGTCTGAATTTCTTGGAAGAGGATTTATTATTATTTACGATATTTATATTCTGACTATTTTCCTCATCTTTGTTGTTGTTATTATATATAGTATATCGATCTGGGTAACCTACAGGGAATACTGAACGGAACACTTTATTTAATCTACGAGGGTAGACTCTTCTCGTTCCACTGCTCATGTCTAGGGATATCGTCTGGTTCTTATTTTTAGTACTGATTTCAAATACACAGCTGCCTGTGCCAGTGTGATTAAACTCACAGTTACTATGTCAGCAAATCCACTAGGCTATTGCTCCGTAGGACAATTTGCTGTGGTGAACGTGGAGTCATAAACCTAACCTACCTGATAACATGCAGCTGCTACTGCTATTGATGGCTGTCATGTTTTGACTCCTGCTGATGTTGTTAAAGAATTACAAGTAGTTGTATTTTTATATTAAAGTTCTCCAAATTCTCGGCCAAATATCCAAATAATTAAGTTACTGAATAAGTGGTGGGTTATTAACGTAAGAAGGGTTAGATGGAAGTATAGATTATGAGGATCAGGAGAATAAATAGAAATTGACCTTTTATTTGAAGAGGTTAAGATTGTAGTGTCCAGGAAAAGCATCCCCGTTTGTCCCACAAAGTAGCAATTCCCTGGGAAAAAAATAAATGAGTGAATAAATGAATGAAATATGATGGAAATGTGGATGATCGGCTCCGTGGAGTTTAGGAGTGCGAAAGTGTACCGTAGTACTGATTATTGTTATATTTTTTATTTTTCAGATTCTGAGACTCGCCTTTTCACTTGGTTGCATTATTCAATAATAAGTAAGAATATAGTTTTAAGGAGTTAGTTAATACTTTTTAATTTTCCAATATAGCTTCCTCATTTTACTATCATGCCCATTTATATTGGTTTCTTAATTCAACTTTTCAAAATAAAACCTTGTTTTTGATCTCATAAAAAAACAGGAAAATACACTCAAAACAATATATAAGAAAATGAAGAATTAATAATGAATTTATAATATTTTAAATGAAGCACTTTTAAGACACATTCGGTAGAGTAATGGATAGCGGCTCGAGTTCGAATTCCAGTCGAACCCATTACATTCACTTACGTCCTAATACCGTTGGGAAATGAAGGAGGCGCGGTGGAGTAATGGATAGCGACTTGGATTGAGGAGAGTCGAGTTCGAATTCCAGTCGAATCCATTACATTCACTTACGTGTTAATACCCTTGGGAAAGGCGTGAATCCTCTTCTTCTCCCTCCAGCTATGGGTAAATAGCAGGACAGACTGGGTTCTATAGCCTTGGATGGCAACTGGTCTAGGAGAAGGAAAACTCTGAATTCAAAACCTGCTCTTAGATGAGGGTGAATGGAGTCTCTCTGAGCCTTGGTTGGCAATCCATTTAGTGATGGTGTCACGATAAAAAACACCCTTGATAGCCTTAGCGAAGCATCAAGAATTCAGCTATTTGACAAGATTTTGAACTACAACAATCTCGGCTGAGGCCGCAAGATGATGGGAAATGTATGAATCCTCTTCTCCCCAACCCCTCCAGCTATGGGTAAACAGCAGGATAGACCGGATTCTAGAGCCTTGGACGGCAACTGGTCTACCGCAGAAAGAAATGGCAACCTACTGCGAGAAAAAAATCTGTTCGTCAGTCATGATCGCCTAATCGTGTATCACTTATGACACATAACTGAGAGAGAGAGAGCGATGGGGGAAGGAGAGAGAGAGAGACGCGACACAGACCAGTGTTTGACGTCAACACCAACAGCGACAACGGCAGACAGCGACAATATCCATCTCACTTTTAATTTCACCCCTCTCTCTCTCTCTCTCTCTCTCTCTCTCTCTCTCTCTCTCTCTCTCTCTCTCTCTGTTGCCTTAGTAAAAGTAAGGACTTACTAGTTTTTGTATATATGTAAATATAATATACATTTATCTACCCTTACTCAATGTCCTCTTTTGTTTGATGCTTGGATTTATGTTTGCCGAGGTGGAGAAGGAATTAACAATAGTAACAACAACAACACAGTTCTATCTTCAGGGTTACCAATTTGCGGCTCGACAACACTATATTTGCAGATTCACTGATTTTCTCTTCTATTCACATACAGTATGTTCCCAGTAGAGGTTATGAATATCTTGCTCGTATAAATAAAGCTTTGCTCGTATTTCAAGTAGATCTTCAAGTACACAAAAAACCGCAAGGAAACGGAAAATGAAATTAACAAAATGACGATAAATGAAAACACGAATCCTATTTTCAATAATTTGCTTGTTTATTTACTAACCGATTTTTTATTCATATTAAGCTCTTGCTCTCTCTCTCTCTTTCTTTCTTTCTCTCTCTCTCTCTCTCTCTCTCTCTCTTTCTCATTGATTATGTAGGTAGCACTTAGGTCCCTTCACTTCTTCCTCCTGCTGAGAGATTGCTACTGACGTGACGGTTGGACAAACGGCTCCCATTTCCAATCACTATAGCCGAAACTCTCCTATATAAATTCCCGACCCCAAAAGTTTTTACTTATTTATTTTATGTCTTTTCGGTCAGCGGGTGGCCGCTTTGAAGATCTTACTTTCGAGATTTTATTGTCCAAAACATAAAAAATCGCCGCGCTTCGGTTTTTAATTTTCATATGTGCACTTATAGTGCTTTGAACTTCTTTCGAAGATAATTCAATTAATAACCTTTAAAAATTTTCGCCACACATCTACGATCCTCTCACAACACGCCAATACACCGCGGCACACCGATTGAAAATCCTTGCTCTAGGACAGAGCGAGAACCGGATTATCCTTTAGGCTAGTATAAGCTGCAACCTAAGGCTCCTCAAGTTTTTATAAAGCAAAGATTTTAGTTTTCTAGATATTATAACTTCTAAATAGTTTCATAAATTGAAATATCAATATGACAAACTTATATTTATTTGACTTTGCAGGAAACAAAGCAAGGAAAAGAATATTTTAGTTTGTATCATTGGGTTTCAAGTAGATAACATGTTAGATTTTAGTTCAGAATGTTTAAATCTTAGGGGAGGCACGGTGGAGTAATGGATAGCGGCTTAGATTAGGCGAGTTCGAATTCCAGTCGAATCCATTACATTCACATTACATTCACTTACGTGCTAACACCCTTGGGAAATGTGTGAATTCTCTTTCTTCTCCCTCCAGGTATGGGTAAATAGCAAGACAGGCTGGGTTCTATAGCATGGGCAACTGGTCTAGGAGAAGGAAAACTCTGAATTCAAACCTGCTCTTAGATGAGGGTGAATGGGGTCTCTCTGAGCCTTGGTTGGCAATACATTTAGTGATGTTGTCACGATAAAAACACCCTTGATAGCCCTAGCGAAGATATTTGACAAGATTATAAACTACACCAATCAAAGTATTAGTGAGTTCAATCTCGGCTGAGGCCGCAAGATGATGATGATGAAATAAAGCAGTGATTTGAATTTTTTCTACGCGTTATAAGATACCTTGAATAATATCAATATGACAAACTCAATTATTTCGATTGTTTCATTGTTATAATTCTGATTATAAAAAATTTGTTTATTTGTTTTTTTTTTTTTTTTTTTTTGGTGGGGGGTTTACTACGGTATGATGGTATTTCTTAATGAATAGATAAGATAGCTATTCTAGTTTATTTAAAGAATTTCCAATAAGTTTACTTCAAGCTATGTAAATGTCGCTAAAATATATCACAAGTAAAATGTATTAAAACAGGTACTGGAAAATTAGAGGGAGACTCAGTTTAAGGCTGGGGAGTATAATTTCATTAGCTTAGGGGGTCCCAAAAGGTCATAATCTGGCCCTGGATATAGGCAATCATAGCTCTCAATTTATTCTTTTTATTTATTATTTGTTAAGTATTATTTTTTTTTATAAAATCAGGGAAATCCTTTTCTAAGTCTGGCTGCCATCTAAGGCGAGCAAACGCTGCTATTTAATCAATAACTAGGGGGCGAAGAAAGAAGGGATGAATTCATGCCTTTATCAAGGCGGAAAATGAACATAACAGTCAAGGCGGGAATTTGAACTCAGTTTGTT